CAGAGATAACTCTGCAGCAAGGGCATTTTATTCCTAGAGCTGTACTGCCGTGCGACGTCCAAGACACTGTGGTGATTTTTGCTGGTGGGGAAATGGGAAATACGTGTGTGGTTGCTCATGGCTGTATAGTCCTTTAAGTGAGAGAAACTACTGAGTGGGACCAACTCTCGTCTGATAACCTCTGTGTTAGGTGGGGTGGAGAGCAGCGGTATTTACAACAGGATGCTGCTCAGGAGAAGTACGTAAGGACAGAAATTTGTTCAAAATGTCCCATAATTTTGCACAGAGAGTTTGAAGAAGTACTACAAATTTAACATGTTTGCTTGTTTTTTCTTTTTTCATCAGACAGTATTACTGAAGTCTTCACTAACATCTATGTGACCAGTTTTGGACCTGTTTCAGATACTGATATGGTGAGTTTCCGAATCTTTTGTGTATATGGTAAATAGTGTAAGATGTATACTATTAACTTCCTTTAAACCTGTATTCTGCTTTTACTTATTGTGGACAAATTGGGAATAATTTCACTGAGGTCAGGAACCACCAAATCCCAGTAGTTCTAAAGATGGAAATAGGTTTATAGACCTTACAGGAGAAGTACGCTTGTATTAGCTGTTTAGTTGGGACCAGTCAGTCTTCTGATTGTCCCCACTGACTGCACTTTGGTTCACATTGTGGAGAAGTCTCGAGATGGGTGAGATGGGCTCCTCTTGGATGAAACTAGAGCGAGAAGAGCCCTGTAGGAGCATGTTCACATTGTGGAGAAGTCTCGAGATGGGCGAGATGGGTTCCTCTTGGATGAAACTAGAGCGAGAAGTGCCCTGTAGGAGCACGCTGAATGTCAGCAACAGCCTGAGGGACCTGACTGGAGTCAGTCTAAACTAAACTCTGAAAGGCGTTGCTTGGAGTTTGGGTCATCAGCATGATTGTGGTGTTCTACAGATCTGTCCTTCAGAATGTGCACCATTTAGTAACCATTTAAAGGCAGTCAGTGACATTAAAAAGAAAGAAGCTGTCAGAATATTGCTCTGGTTTACAGTTTTTCGGGAAAACAGCAATGGAAAAAAACTCTGAGGTGGTTTGTAGGCTCCCTGCAAGTCATACGCTGGTTAGGGAGAATGTGTCACATTCAGGAGAAAGATCTTCATGGATAGAACAGCTCTGAAAGGAAAGAAGGGAAGGGCAGTCTGAAAGTCACTTTAGCTTCCCTCGCCATTCCTGCAAGAAATTATTTCCTGCATGAAAGTATTTTTTGAAGTGTTTTGAACATCAACAATTATATATCAGATGTATAAAATGCTACCTACGTGTATCTATAGGTATTAAAAATGGATATTTTTGAAAACAGGCAATATTTACTTCTTCTGTGAAAACTTCCAGGTTATGCATCATACCAAACAGGAAAGATCTTGCTGTTGCAAGCTAGGTTGCAACAAAACTAAATATTTCGTGGTACGGTGTACGTTTTAATAGCTGCTTGCTCACTGACTAACGGGTAGTCATAGCTGTGGGGAGTATATTCTGGATTTTTGTGTTCCTTTTTTTGTGTGTGATAGTTTCGGTTTCCAAGCTTTGCGTTGATTGTGATGAATACATGACTGAGGCTTCACATAAAAAGCCATTTTGTAGGAAAATGAGCAATTTATTTTCTTTTTGTCGCTATATGTGTTACCGATTCTCTTGAGGTGGGTTTTCCTAACGATGTTAAGTTTCTGAAATTATTCTGATTTTAATACTAATTATGATAAACAATATCCACCGCTATGTACAGAGGTGATATAAACATCTCCCCCTGGTTAGTCTAGTACCTCGAGACTTCTCAGTGTTCACACTCCCAGTATTCCTGTGAAATGGGGAGATGATATGAACGTTTCCAAGACGTGGTACTGAGGCATGAGTAGACTTCCCTGAGGCCGTGCAAGTCATCTGTGCTTAAATGGGAATTCAATGAAAAGCTCCATGCGCCTCATCCCAGACTCCAGAAACACCTCTGAGGCCGGCGTGTAGACGTGTGCAGGGCACAGACGGACGCGACGGCGCGGTACGAGGTCCGGCTGGCCGATGCCACCGGTCCGACAGCTCTGGGCAGGGGTGTGGATTGAATCGGAGGGCCGTGCGTCGGAGCGGCAGCTGGTACTGCGGTGGGCAGATCTGTTTGCAGACAAGTAGATAGGTAAGGAAGAGCAGTTTGATACTTACTCCTACAAGTTTCAGGGTTAATTTAGGTTGTTCAGTTGATAATTATAAAATCATTTTGAAACGTATGAGCAGTCAATTAGAAAATTTCAAGAGATGAGTTTTGCAATAGTAACTTCCAAGCTATCACATATTCTGTGGAACATGAAGGTGACATTAGAGTTTTTACCGTGAGTACTCTTTCATTTAGGTATTGCATTACTGAATTGATAACGTAGACTACTATACAGAGGGTTTACTGGTATTTTCTTCTGTAAATGTTGGAAGCCCTGGAACATTCTCATTCTATAAGCTTCCTCTGTAAAAAGCTTCACTGGAAGAATAAGTTTGACTCTTGCCCATATTCTCCTAAACCTCCAGACGATCCCAAACTAAATCTGAGCTCTTTTCAGGAAGGTTCGATCCCAACCTCTGAGCTCCTCTGCTTTCACGGTGTGAGCAGTGAGGCCCTCGGTCACATCAGGATTTTAGACTGAACACCGTGGTTGCCCAACACTCTCATTGCTGCCAGTGGGATTCCTTCCCCTGGGATTTTTCATAGCAACGAAAGTCAGCAGATGTATGACTGTACCCCTGTGCGTTGTGTGTTTACCAGTTTGGGGTTTTGTCCCCTTGGTCAGCATCTTGTGAAGAAGAACAGCGCTTAGGTGAAAAGCCGGTTGAAAATGGGAAGAGGACTCACTGCCATGGGAGATGGGTAGCATGAGTTTATGGTGTGCAAGAGGGAGGCAGCCCACTGAAAATGCTGGGTGGATTAGAGCTAAAGACACAGTGGTCGCATAGCAGTGTTGATCCACAAAGTCAATAAAATGTCATTCTGACCTTTGCTGTTGTTGAACTGATAGCAATTTGTGAGGTTTCTGCTTTCCTCACCAGGTGTAGTAGTTCCCATTAATGATAATACAGCATCGTGTGCAAGCTGTGGCTCAGTACGTTTGCTAGAATGGAGGGTTTTATTTATATTCCAGTATCAGAATTTTGCCAAAAAATTATGAAGTCCGGGTGGAATTGATCTTTGACTGATTTTAGGCCAGCTGAAGTTGTCATTGGTAAGTTTAGGAGGTAAAAGCTGAGGCTGAGACTTTTCTCCGAATAGGTAAAGAGTCAAAAACTTTTGATCCTTGTTGCGGATTAACATTTTGACAAAGTTGAGAAGATGGTACTCTCAGTTCTGCCCCAGATAGTCAGCTCCCAAATCTGTTGACTCTTGGCCAGAACTCTGCTGCCAACTGTGCTTCAAATAAACGACTAAAATGTTGATGTATCTATATTAGCTGTGTCTTAAAAATGTTCCTGTAAGTCAACCACAGCATTTAACGTCGAAGGAAATGCCAATAGACAACGGGAATTTTCAACTTCATTTTGCAAACTGATGAGAATCAAGGAAGGCAAACCAAAACACGGGATTAAATAGATTTTACTTCCACTGTTCTGTCTCTTTGAGCTGTTCTTTCGCCGAAATGTTGGAGTTCAGTGTTGTGATGCTATGCCTTATAGGCTTCCAGCCAGATCAGTGATACAAATTTATAGTGACATTAGCCTGAGAGAAGAAAGGCTGAATTGTTTAGAAAAATGAACAAACCAAAAATTGAACAGAACAATTGAAAAACAAAGCATATCTGAATTTTCTAGAGTTGTAAGGCTAAATTATGATTAAAGAAGGTAATTAAAATATTTGAAATTAAGTTAAAATATTTACTATTTGAAAATTCTGAGGTGAAGGATAATTTTGGTTGGTTTATGATTTGTAGGAGAAAAAAATTATTCAGTTTTAATGTTTAATTTATTTTACTTCACTGTTTTTTTCAAAATTAACTATTTTAAGTCTGGTAGATTGATGTATCTCTATGAATATCTATGCTGCTAACTCTGAGGTACTTCTGCAACTTTTTGTCAGACTTACTTTCATTCCAGGCTCTCCTGACACTTTGGCTTCTAAAATTTCCCATTCAACCTTAAGTCCTGATGTCCTTGATAGGAAAAAAAAATATAAAAAATTAATGAGAAACATATTTACTCCTCAAACAATCGTTATTGTATGGAAGACAGAGCATACAGGCATTGAGAGGTCTGCTGCGAAGAAGGCTTTGCCAAGATTTGGCCAAATCTTGCCTCGGAGCAGCCTTTCCAGCTGTCACTGGAACCGTCTTTCCCGCTTCCCTACAACACGCAATGAGTAGGTGGCAGGACCTGAAGCAGTTTTGCTTGAATATTAAAGCTAACAAGCTTTCTAACTTTCAACCTTAGTTTTCATTGTCTCTGGGGAGTTTAGTTCACTGTGGTGACGTCTTTGGTTTCCCCTGTTTGTCTGCACACAACATTTTTTCCTAGTTTCTCGATGACAGACCTCTATATTTTCACTCTAGAGTAAAGAAACGGGAACATTTCCCTCTAGAGATGGTCATACCCGGCTAGTTCATCGCCACACACACTTCCATCTTGCCAGTTTTCGATTAAACTTTCAACAAGCACTTCTGATTTTTCAAAGATAGCCAGAACAGAAATTTTCAATGAAGGCTGAAGGTCGAATCTAGCAATGACCGAGAGGATTGTTACAGCATCTCTCATACAGCTGAGAACGGCTCTTTGGAGAGCGTGGCTGAACTGGGAACCATGTTTCTTTTCTTGTGTCTGTTTTTCAAATTTCCTCATTCCATTTGGTATTGCAGATTTTGCTTTTTTCTATGAAACTTATTTTTTAGCTATTTCAAAGTCTAATTATTAGCTATGGTTCCTTAACTGGAGAGAAGCTTTACAGGGTATGATATAAGATTCAGGACAGAATAAGGGAATACATGAAAATATATATATTTTTTAACAAAGATTGAAAAAAAGCACTGCAATCATTTTACTGTAGCTTTTGTTTTTACCTCAGTAACAGAAGACTAAAGAGTAAAAGGCAAACAGAAATGATAACTACATTAGCTTTCTTGGGTTTTGGGGAGCGTTTAGGTTGTGTTTTTATCATTGATATGTTTCTGAGAAGTCAGTAAATTGGCTGCTCCATTCCCTTTTATGATAGGCTCAGGTCATTGCCTTTGCAGGTTAAATCTATAGACTGGAATTTGGAGGAGGAGATCGCTTGCAGGATTTCTGTCCTTTTACCCTGTAGAGAAGGCTTGTTCCCCTGTGCAGCATCCCACCATGTGGACCAGTATTGGAGATGGCTTTGTCCGAGCCCTTCACCGCCACCAGCTCTCAGCATACCTCTTGTCTG